GATGTCGGTGATTCTAAACTTCTATTGTTGTAAATTTGTATTCATAAACAATCATTTAAGAAATTTTATTTATTTTCTAAAACTGTGGAAAAAGTGTAATAAATGTCAAATTTAAATTTTCCAACTAAAAAATGAAACTATATTAATTCTCTTAACTGAGGGTTGTTTTGAAGCCGCCAAGAAGAGTTTCTCCTCAGTGTGTGCTACCATGCGAAGGTTTACAGAGTCGACTACTGCCCAGACTTACATCCAAGATTACAGAAGTAAAACTAACTAATTATGGTTATCTCACGAGAAGCCTCGAGCGAGAAGAAACTGGAATGCAATTAATAAAATAAGGTTCTGAAAAATATTGAGTCAAAAGCTCTGTGTGCTGACTACAAATCAGGTTGTAGATTGTTATAATTATGGCCTATACCAGATGCGAGATGCTGCAGTAAAAATTGCTTTTAGTAGAGAGAATTCCCTACGCTATTAAAAAGCTTTAAAAAGTTGAATGATCTATAGGAAAGGAAATACCATAGGCCGCAGATCGAAGCTAAAGGGTGTTACCAATAAAATACCATAACGTTAAGACCAAGAATTTAGTGTTAATTAGGGTTTCCTTTTATGTTTTGAAAATGAATTCGGGCAAGTGATCGCCGCGGTTGACTTGAATTCCTGCCGAGAGGCATAATTTTCAACCAGTTTTTGCAGCAATCGGGGCCGAATATTCTCTTCCAAGCCGTCAATCGTCTCGGGCATAACTGCCCGATATTCAAGGCCACACCACAAGCCCTCACAAAAAGTTTTCTTCAATATATTGATGGATTTCGTTGGATTTGTGGCATATAACGCCGTCTTGTTGAAAAAAAAAGTCGTCCACATCTACAGCCTTCAATTCAGGCACGAAAAAGTCATTAATCATGGGTCTATAACGTTCCCCTTTGACTGTAGCATTGTGGAGGGCTTCTTTTTTTGAAGAAATATGGAAGAATTACGTTCCGATCAACCAAAAGTGTGACAAATTTCCCTAAAAAGGATAGACACAGCTGCAATAGTTAGGTGCGATGGCGGATGGGCTAATTCGAGTCTTCTTGAATACTCTGTCCCACAGCAGTAATAGCGGCTTCGGTGTGCATTGTATGGTGTCGCGTGGCGTCCCGCTAACGGAGCCATTATTTTCGTACTAATCAAGAAGAGGCTGTCAAAAAGTCCAAATCCGAAAAAAGATTTATCTCATTGAAAGTTAGTTAGTTAAGTTGCTCAAAAACGGGTACCTTTGGTCCACCACACTTAAGCCTGTTGGCATATTGTGATGACTATATGGGGTTTATAGAAGAGATTCCTCTCACCCTTCAACGGTGTTCTGGTTCCAAGTGAGTTTAAGTATTTGACCTCAGTGAATATAGTGATATTGATGCCGTGTTTTCCTCTTGCTATGAGGGCGATATCATCAGCGTATGCAGCTGGTGCCTCTTAATTTGCGAAGCAGAGTATTAGCTGCGTGACACCAAATTGTGGGGCACCTCTTTTGGCATATCTGGTTGTGAATAAGCCTCATAACTCACCAAATTGGTTTCTTGATAGAGATTTCAGCAGGTTTTAATGACGCAACGTGTTCATTTCTCAGCATTTTCCATCGTATTTGTCAGTATGGCACATTCATCTTCAAAAAAGAACGCCCGGATGGTCATGTCAGCAAGAGTTTCACACCACATTGCCACTTGCCGATGGATTTTTATGAGTAGTTTTTATTTCATAACAAAGATATATAAATAATATTTTTTAAAGGTCCTTATTTGGTCCTGAAATGAAATAAATCTCAAGTTAATCGTCTTATTAAAACCATTATTTGAAAAAGTTTGGTGTTGGGTTCACTTCTTGCAAGAAAAAGTAGTGTTTCAAGTAAATCAAGCCATGTTTTGTTGGTTAAGAGGGGAGGTTAAGGACCTAACCGCGTGGGTCGCACCTTAGGCGTCGAGTCAACGCAGCGCCATTTAATAAATTTTGTATCTTACATCCAAGTGCAGCCATCTCCATAAGGTTGGAGCTCGGAGCACCGTGGAAGATGTCATGTCGGCTGAAGGCCATTCACTTTCAAAGGTCATGTTCTAGCATTTTGTACTCCTCTGTGCACGGCTCTACACTCTGCTGATTATATTTATCTAACGGCTTACTCGTCAACCTACAAGAATGCTAATTTCACTTTTGCTTTGTGCTAGCCAAATAATTTACTTCAATTAAGCCTTTAAAAAACCAATTTTTTGTATAAAAAAATATTGGAATTTCCCAAGGTTGTGATGAATTTCCTTCAAGTTGCAATTTTTTTTTTTAATTTTTAAGTGCAAATAGAGAAAATTTAATACTTTGGGGCTTGTAGAAATAAAAACTCGAGAAAACGCGCTTCAAAATTCTGCCCGCGCATTCGAACCTGTTCGACGCTCGGCCACTAAAACTGCTCTAGCTTCTAAAATATGTCGAATTGGCCACTGAAATTTCAAAAGCATATTCTTGGATAGTTTTAGAATATATATATAAAAGTAAAATTCATCTTTGAGGCTTCTAAAGCCACTGGCTTAAGGAGAAAAAAAACCACATGGACCGAATTTCCATCTACGAAACGCTGCTGAATCGTAATAAAATCGATACATTTTTTGAAATGTGACTGGTGATTAAACGATCTCTAAGCAAAGCAGTTTTTGTTATGTGTTTGGTGGAATTGGCAAGGAATCATCCAGTATGAGCTGCTCCGCCACAGCCAAACTTTTAACTTTTATCTGTGATTGGCTAACTATTGCACCATCTGAAGGAAGTAATAGCTCAGAAGCGCACTGCTATAGCCAACATCGGAACAACGCCAAACCACATACTTTGATTTTGACTCTCCAGAAAATCCGAGAGCTTGATTCTTACGCATCCATCTTAAGGTGCGGACCACGCCTCTGGTGTATACCATCTGCGCCTGCCTATGGCAAATGATTTGACTGATGAAGAATTGGCATCAAGAGAACTACTAAAAATCCTTTGTCATATTTTTTCGTCAATAGAGACAAGGGTTTCTATGAGAGAGCCAAAATTACATTCCCTTCAAAAGTGCAAAACATATGTAAATCGCTTGATTCCAACAAAATAAAGTCGTCAATTTAATGCAAAAATAATGAGCTAACTAGATCAGATATATATATATATANCATTCTTAAGTCTTCCATAGTTATGTACGCAGATAACTGTAACAAATTGCATTTTTTTCGGACTACTTAAGCCCGACATATTTCGTTATCTCATAGAGCGAAATCTTTTACAATTTAACTTTGGTATGAGTTTTATTTATATATGATTGGCGCTTTGTAAGTGCTGGAGCGATTTTCTGCCTTTGATCTGTGGCTTGCGTTTTGATGTTTCGCCTAAAAATAGAGGAACCTACAGTTTATTCTTAGACGTCTTCAAAATGCCGATAGAGGATGCCGATAGAGGATGCCGATGAGGAGCCTTGGTTTTCATGTGAGAAATGCACTCGAAGAGCTTAACATGCCCTGCCGAGGCGGGCGATTTCAATTAGTAAAAATAGTTTTCTATAATTTTTGATGTTAGTCGGACTAAAGCTCGAACCTTGGCCTACCGCGTGTTAGTATGTAGCGCCGTTTATATATCAATACATTTTCAAAACTTGTTTACTTTACCGCTATTTGCTTCATTATTCCTTAATCTCTAACTGTATGTATAGTACAAACCACTATGTTTTGCTTTCTGCATTTGGTGCGATTGTCCATCGCTTACTGCAGTGACATTGAATAAATAATAAAGAAAAAGTGTTTTCCAACAGACACAGCCTCTATAGGCACAGCTGCATAGCAACCGCAAAGTGTGCGGGGAAGTGGGCTAAACACATTCTAAGCTACCTACGCGAGCAGAAAATGGCATACCATGTACTAGTCAACTACTCTGGCATACTCTGTACATACATACATACATACGTACACGTAGCGTGCTCATGTAGGTATTCTACAGTAAAAGAAAAAAAAGTAGTTAATGGCGAGCGGCTGGCTCCATTGAATTTTGAACAGTAGCAAACAAGTAACAAACAAACAACCAAACCAACAAAAAAATAGCAAATAAAAATGAACGAGAAAATGCGAAAAAGTGCAGCAAAGTTGAGGATGAAAGCAAGAGCAGAGCATATTGCATGAATGTATAAAAAAGTAACAAATTTTCTAACGGACAACTAAAATATTTTAGGATCAATGCCAAATATAAAATAACAAAAACAAAAAAAACAACAAACACAAAGCGAGTTCGACGAGATAAGCAGAAAAAAACAATAACAAAAAAGACCGCAAGAAAGTAACGAAAAAGCCCATGAAATTAAACTAAAGAAACTAATAAATAAACAAGAATTTCTTACTTCTGTTTATCTGTCGCCGGCTGCGCGCGCATTGTTGTTGCTCATAATTCATAGGCTTTGAATAATTGAATGCGTTGCGAATAGGGATTTGTGCGGGTGGCGGAAAGCAGTGCAGGGCAATCAACACACAATCTACCACAGACATACACACATACACACATACACACATACATATACACACACACACACATACACAAAGGAAAGTAAATGAATTTAAGGCCCACCTCAGCGCCAGTTAGCGAGTAGCTGACTACAATAAAAATGCGACAGTGTCCATCAACCATAAATTCTAAGCGTAACAAGCGACATTTTTGTGTATTTTAATGAGATTTTTCGTATTTCAATTGGCAGCTATAAAAAAGCAAAGATATCTCACACTCGCACACACGCATGTACATAAGTATTTACTTGTAATTGTGTAAAAGTGACTGTCCAATCTCCAAAGTGCGTCATTAAAAGCTATAAAAATAAAAATAAATTAAAAAAATCTGTTTAGAAGAATTTCGTGCTAACTTCCCTCACTGTGATAAAAAAAATATATAAGAAAAAAGTGTAAGCAAAAAACAAAAATACAATACATACAAACAAACTACTTTTAGTACCTTAAAAAAAAAAAAAATTCAAATAGTCAACAATAAAATAGCATAATAAACACCTACATTTAATATTCATATATGTATATATACACACATACATATGCATGTACATATGTGAAATTAAAAGATAGTCAAACCGAGACCCAACAACTACCAGCAGCCACATTTAAGTTTTATGCGCAATTTGTCGGTTGATTATTTCACACACACACGCACAACGACTCCACTACAACCACACCTGCAGGCAACAGCATACATTGTTCCTTACCTGTGCCCCGGCGACAACAACAAAGCGAGGAGATAGTGCAGATACATGTATATGTATGTAGTGGAGTGTAGCAGACGTAGGAGAGTACGAAAGAGCACATTAGCATATTAAACGCCTTCAGTGAAGGATACTCAAGTGGCGCTCACAGTTATCTGTCTCCAGTGTCGTCACGCGTAAGCAAGCCAACAAACACGTCAAACACTCAATACTCATACGCTCAACTATACTTTGCTTCACTTGACACAACGAAACGAAGGAAACTTGATACTCGATACTTGTTGCCGGAAACGGGAAACGGGAAAAGCAGGAAAATGGAAACGCTACAAAAGTCATTTTTCATGCTGCTCTTCACTATATGCCTTACATTAAGTGGTAATTATTACTGTTATTTTCTATTAAATAACTATTGATCTCTTATTTTATGGCGAGTATTTACATAACTTTTGATTTGTATGCGAATAAGTTAAATTTAAAATTAGATCAAATAAATATAAATAAATTAAAGTATAATAAATTAAATGAAATGGAATAAAGTGGAAAAAATATAAAATAATATAATACAAAAGAAAAATAAATAAACCTAGTTAAAGTAAAATAAAATTAATAAAATAAATTTAAAAAAATGTATATATTAAATGAAATCAAATAGACCCAAAAAAAAGAATAAGAATGTCATTTTAAAATCAAATAAAGCAAAATTAAAATTAAATTAAAAAATACAAAATATATTAAATTAAAATACATTAAATTAAATAAAGTAAAATAATAGAGTTATTTAAAATAATGAAATCAAATAAAATAAAATAAAATATTAATATAAAATAAAATAAAATGAAATAAACTAAAATAAAAGTAAAAAAAAATAAAAAAAAAAAAATAAAATAAAATAAATAAAATAAAATAAAATAAAATAAAATAAAATAAAATAAAATAAAATAAAATAAAATAAAATAAAATAAAATAAAATAAAGTAAAATAAAATGAATGAATATAAAATATAAAAAAAATTAAACTAAAATATAACATAAAATTAATTTATATCAAACTAAGGTGAAAAAACTATTTAATTCATTTAAATCAAATTAAAATAAACTGAAAAAATTAAAAAAAGAAACAAAATAAAATTAACTAAAATAAGATAACATAAAGCAATATACAAAAAAAATATATTAAATAAAAAAATTAAGCAAAATAAAGTAAAATATATAAAAAAAATATTACCAAAGATGCATGACAAGAAAAAAATAATAATAATAAAATTAAAGTAAATTAAGTTAAGACAAAATAAAATTAAATTATATACAACAAAAGCAAAGATAAATGCAATAATTTAAATGGAACTAAAATGAATTAAAATATAAGAAATTAAATAAAATAAGACAATATAAAATAAAATAAAAGTAATAAGAAAATTATAAAAAAATAAGAAAAAACTACTTAAAAGAAATTTTAATAAAATGAATTAAACTATAAAAAACAAAACTAAACAAAATAAAAAAAATAGTATAAAATAAGACTAAATTAAATCATATTAAATTGAATTGAATTAAACTACATTAAGTAATTACTTTAAATATAATTAAAATAAAGTGAAATATGTTAAATAAAATAAAATAAGGGAATATAAAATAAAAGTAAAGATAAATTTAGATGAAATATATTAAATTGAATAAAGTTAAATGAAATAAAATAAAATATAATTAAATTAAATTAAACAAAATTAAATAGTGTAGAATAAAAGGAAAAAAATATTACTAAATAAAAGAAATACTAAATAAAATAAAGTAAAGTAAAATAAAATAAAAAATAAAATTAAGTAAAATAAATAAAATAAAATTTAATCAAATGAATTAAACCAAAGTAAACTAGAATAATATAGATGAAATATAAGAACTGAAAGTATAATAAAATTAAAATATATTATAATAAACTAAAAAACTAAATTATTAAAACAAATTCAAAAGAAATAAAAATTATATTATAAAAATCAAAGTAAAGGAATAATGAAAATTGAAATATCATTAATTGAGATAAAAGAAAATAAAATAAATGTGTATAGATAAATTAAAGTAAATTAAAAGAAAAACTGAAATAAAACAGTGATTAATTAAATTTCACCGAAATTGTCGACCAAAATTGTTCCAGAGCTGCATCATTCTCCCATATTACATACCGATCTTACAATTTTCACATCTCTTTTTACTAACGTTTTAGTTGTATATACATACATTTATAATATATATGTATATATACTTAACGCTATGTATCCGCTCAAGCGATTTTCAGCCTAGCCCCGATTTGTAGTTTGCTTTTGAATAATTCACCAACAAATGAAGGCACCTACAGTTTATAGTAAGCCGCCTCCAAGCGGCCAATCGTTTTTATGTGAAGCTTTTTGTAATCTTCCCAAATTTTATGTTACGATTCTGATACTATTTTGAAACCATTGTATTTGGTGAAGTTTCCTATTCAATTTAATAAAGTGTTAAGAGTTACTTCAGTTTTTTTAAGACCGTACGCCATATTGTTTTGTTGTCTTCATGTATACAGCAGACAAATAAAATCCATAATTTAATTTTTTATTTCATGGGTTTGTGCAAAAAATCTATTTTTGATCGGTTTACCGATTCACTTACAATGACTAGGATTCATTTATAAATAATAATTATAAGGTTATTTACCTTGAAGTCTGCTATTTTAGGCTAGCAAATTTTTTTGGTATGACACTGCGTATACGTAACATACTTGCATAGGAATAAATCTTATGATAAAGGGAACTTACATATATTTTGGACCATTAATTAACTTTCTTAACATTAATTAATTTTCGAAAAACCATTTGTTTTATATATATATATATAATATATATATATATATATATATAACAAGCTGAGTTAATAACTGGATATGTAATAAAACCTTACGGTAAATAACACTTCAACCCTTAGCTCCCACCTAAGAGAAACGTCTTCAAAAATTGCCTTAAAAATAGATTCGGAAGATAGTTTGATATTAAAATGAATATGTTTGTTAAAGCAAATTATAGTTTGAAATGAGCAACTATTTTTTTGTTTATTTACCTTAAAATAAAATATCAAAATATTTTATTATTTTTTAGTTAATAATATTCTTAAGATATTTATAAACCTACGTGAACATAAAAGAAAAATTATATAGTGCGACGTGACTTATAAGAATGGTTAGCAATAACTGATGCAGACTTCTGGATACGGTTGAGTTTTTCATTAAGCAAATATAATCTTCTTTTTATGTAATGAAAGTGAGACTACGAGCGTTCATAATATTCCCAAAATAGCAAAAAAAAATTAAATTATTTAAATTTAAACAACTTCTTGCATTATAAAGAAAATTTTGAAAGTTTGAAAATTAAGCAGGTTTTATTTACCTCGCCCACTATAATTACCTTCAATCAAATCTTCTGCCCAAATCAAGTGCATCTAAAGTAAATAAATCAAGTTTTTAAAGCTGCAGAGCTGGAATACTTAATGCCAACATTGACCTCATCATAAATTTTCGATTTTGATTTAGGAAATACTTTAGCGTGTTTATAAGTGTGAAAAGGGTGTTCGTTTAGACATGTGGTTTCAAAATGAAATGTCAGCAATAATTCGTCGAATAAGGTCGCATTCGCCTCGGACTTATTTGTGTAGACAAGCCACTTCACATAACACTGCAAAAAAAAAGTTCAACGGTATTAAATCGCTTAATCTTGGAGGGCAAACCACTAACCCACAACGCAAGATAATGCACTCGTTAGAATTCTCCTTCAATAAATAAATTGTTTCCCTTGATTGTTTGACACATAGAGCCGACTTTTTCAAACCAAAAATCGTCCGCATCAAACTTCCTCCAAAGTCAGGCACGAAAAAGTCATTAATAGTGGCTCTTCTGTAGCATTTTCTGTTGATGTTGCCATTATGGAGAACTTCATTTTTGCGGAGCCATGCCCGTGGGGCACACAAACCAGTGACTTTTTGGTGTTGTAACGTCGTCTCAACAATGGCTTGTGGATTCTTCACTCACTGCAAATGCGAAAATTTTACTAACTAACATGCAGATTGTACCAAAAGTGAGCTGAACGCAATTTCCTTTTGAAAACCAGGATCGGTGGACAACTCGTTTTGGGCCCATTTACTGAACGATCGACGCGCTTGGTGGTCGTTCGGCTTGAATTCTTGCACGAGTTGGATTTTGTAAGTCCGCAAACCAAAATCCTTTCGTAAAATCTGCCATAAAGTGAATGGCAGATGAGCTCATTCGGGTTTTCTTCGATACTCTGCTCTGCAGCTATAGTGGCTTCTTTACGCATAGTACGGCGTCTTCGAGGACGGGCGTTTTCTAGGAGAGCGAACGTGGTATGAAACCGATTAATTACTTATTCTGCTGGGCGTTGTAGTCGACTGAATATTGAACGTAGCGCGCAATGCTTTGGTATTAGATTTGTACGCTTTACAAACGTTGTTCCGGAGTGAGTCTGAGTTTAAATCAATTAACAGCTGCCCAAAAGTCCAACACTCAAAAAATGTGTTGTCTCAATGCAAATCACGCTTTGGAAAAAACACCCTTTATAAACTTACTTACACACATATATACGTTAGTAGGTACATATATCATTGTAAATATTGGAGAAAGTGCAGTAATAAAAGTTGCAAAATGAAATAGCAAAAAATACAACAACAAAATCCTTACGAAATCTAAGAGGAAATGTTGAAGCCAATTTCGTAACTCCATGAGGGCACGTCTGCTCAACCGGCACCGAGAATTCATATTTCATTTATGCCGGCTTTGCACTTTACCATGCACTTTCTATATTATATACTGGCATACATACATATATACATATATATATATTCAACTTTATGTTATTGTACATTATTTGTTGTAAAACAAAATCGTTTTTGTTTTTCATGGATCTTTTACTGTTGTTGTTAGCATTGAAAAATATTACACTGAAAGCCAACAAAATAAATATGTATGAAAAAAATATTAAAAAACAAAAAATAAAAATAAAAATAAAAGGAATGTGGCAGAAGTACGCGGCCATGACTCTCGTGCAACATCGTGCTAACATGCAATTGGAAAATTCGATTCAATTGCAACTGACAAGGTAGCCTGATTGTTTGCGAATGTCGGCAACATGCATACACGCATACATACATACACATGTGTGAGTGTCTGTATGGGCACATATCTTTGTTTTTGATGAAGGCAAGATTGCGAACAGGAAATTATGGAATTTTCACTTTTCGACTGTCAAAATTTGGAGTATACAATTTCCAGTTTATATATGTATGTACATACATATTGAATGTATATACGAGTATTACTCAAATATTTGGAAGTCCATAGGA